GCTGATCTTTGAATAATGCGGGTGTTAGGGGCATTAACTCTCCCCACAGTTGAAAATTTGCATATAACTTATAGTTAGCCCTCCATATCTGCAGTTCCTCTGTATCCACAGTTCTGCAACTTCAAATTCAACCAACTGCAGATCAAGTAATACTGTAATATTTACTATTGGGAAAAATTCATGAGTAACTGGACTCATGCAGTTTAAACCTGTTGTTCAAGGGTCACCTGTGTAATTTGTTCATGGCATTTTGTTCCTTAAAATCTTTCAATGGCTGGCTACAACATGAAGGACCCATATCAGCTTCTGATTTAACCTCTATTGCTCTCCCTTACACACCTGTCTCTCCCACTACCCTGATTGATGGTCCATATACAGAATGTCTTGCCATTTTCTGAATGAACTGTATCCATTGCTCCTTCTCAAACTCCTGTTACACTGTACATGCAATGTCTAGAATTCCCTTCCTTGCTTGCCTACTAGTGAACTCCTACAAGGAAACCAGGGACACATTAAGTTTCAGTTAGACAAGGAAGTAGAGAAAGTATTCTGCCATTAAGACGTTTGGGAATGAAAGAGAATACAATAGAAAAGGTGGGGAAGTAAGAACATGTTGGTATGAGTGACCAGAGAACCACATTCATTTCCTTTATGGCACTTATCTCAGTTTATTACACTGGAGAGGAGTTCAGTCTCACACACCTCATAAACTGTTAAGGCTTAAAGGGCAGTGGAGGTAGGGTGAACAGATAGACTGTAGGTTCTGGAGCCAGATTGCCAAGGTCTGAAACTGGGCTCTACTACTTATCAGATGACTGTGGGCAAGTCACTTACTATTTTTGTGGTCCTATTAAATGTGCTTAGCTGCTAAATGGTCACCTACTTCAGAAGGTGGTGAAAATGAATGAGTTAATACATACACAGCATGAGGCTGAACAGTATGAAATTACCATTTTTATAGATCAAAATGCTCAAATATCAGCAAATTCACATGATTCAACCAAATATTTAAAACAATGCCTAATGAGTAGCACACATCCAAAAAGTGTTATTGTTTTTTCTTCTCATAGATGCTTCTAAACCATTTGTTGAGGTTTATATTGCCCAAAGGTCTCTTCTCATTGATATCCTCCTACTAATCTCCTGGTTCCTTTAAAACAAGACTAGGGCACTTGGCTACAATCTTTAACACATCCCTTGTCGTATCACCATCCTGGATGACTTCAGTAACCACACAGACAATCTATTCGATTCCTCACCTTCTTCAACTCCAGGGTCACATACAACAAGGTCCGACTCTGGAATTAAGTGTCAAGTGGGTCTGCTTCCCATGCCAAATCCAAAGACAACCACAGTCTCCGATCCTTCCAATCCCCTCCTGCCTTTGCTTTCACTACCTCTCTTTTTCAGTCCCAGGAGAACTAAAGTTTCTTGACCTCTCTCCTGGCCTCACTACTCTATTCAGCTGAGATAGCATGGCTCATCACCCAAGCCTTTCTCTCACCAATATCATCAACTACTTTGGACCTCCTGCTTCACTTGTCTAACAAAAACATCAATACAGGATTAATTCAAAAATATACTTTCTACATTTCATGCTCTAGCTGTTGAGCACAACTGGAGAAAATCAGCTTTCAGATCTCTGTTCAGTCTCTCACTTAGCTTGCTTTCATTTTACTCTGCAATGTTTCAGAACTGTTATTATGCTCAAGACTCCAACCAAAGCCACATCCCTCTCAGCAGATGACATCATCTTCTACTTCAATGAGACAATTACACATACATTATCTGAATATCATCCCCTTCCCCTTCCTAGATATCTCTGGACCTATACTTATATTATTTCTTCCTGTTCAGAAGATAAGGTGTTCCTCCTCTGGTTCAAGGCTCTGCCCCTCCACACATGGCCCCAAATCTTCTTTCATCTCTCCTAGGATCTTGTTCTATCAATTATCCCCTTTATTTCCTAAATCTTCAACCTCTCACTGACTATTCAGTTTTTTTTCCTAAGCCCAGAGCCTATTTAAATCTTTCATCATATTAAAGTTAATTTTTTCCCCTTCTTGAACTTGGGTTGCCCCCTAGTGAACCATCCTCTTCTTTTTCTTCTAGTGATTTGAAAGAGAAGTCTGTGCTCACTCAATTCTCTCAACCCTTCCCATTTACCTTGCAACAAACCACAATCTGACTTCTGCCCTGGCCATTGCACTGAAAACTTCCCACCAGTGAACTCCATAATGCCTTCCCAATGGACATGTATCAAATCTCTGTTTTCTCTCTTTTTCCTTTTTCAGTCTCCCTCATGGATTCCTCTTCTTTTATTTGGCCTTGAATGTTTGTATTCCTCAAGGCTTCTCCATTGGTACTTTACTCTGCTCACTCTACATACTCTACTTGTGCAAATTCATTTGCTCTTAATTTTAAATATCATTGATAATGGGTGACTTCCAAATCTGTATTTCCAGTCCAGACTCTCTCCAAATGCCTCCCACATTTATTTACTTGGATAGCCCTCAGGGGCTTAAACCCAATTTACTGTTCATTCAGTTTTTCAAAAAAATATTTATTGATGACCCACACTTCATACTAGTATTCATACTAATAGTAAACAAGATAGCAAAGATAGGTCCTTTAACATAAGCCATGCTTCTCACTACTACTTCCAATTAACTTTTAGGCCATAATAATACCAAACTTTCTGTAGCCTGCCATTTTCTGATGAAAGAAGACTAAACGCTGTGGGCCTTTGATGTTAATCTTCCAGTGTGGAATTCCCATTCCATGGTCTTTTAAATTTTTAAGGCTTTAAGAGAAGTCTTGCCCTCCAAGAAGCCTTCTCTAAATTTGCAACCTGGGCTAACTGTCCTTGATCACTGTATGGGCTAGGATGTGCTAAAACTACGTATTTGCACATATCTTCACCATTGGATCTCTAGGGCAGGAATTATGTCTCTCCAATGAACAAGACTGCTTGGCACATAGGTAATAAGTGTTTGTGATTACTCAGCTAAGTATAATCTTTCCCCTTTTCAAACACCCAAAATACCGTGGTGCTTTTCTAACTCTCCCCAGTACGACTTGTAAATCTCATTCCCCTCTCCTTGTTAATGCCAGTTTAACCTTCTTGAGCATGCTGTGCCTCTTTCATTCTCTACACTCCTCAAAATTATGTATATGATGGGCACTCAAGCAACTGTGGTTGAATTGAGCTGAAATGAACAGAGAAAACACTCCCATATTACATCGTCTATCTCTGGAATCTTTCAGTGGCATTGTATAGTCCAGGAATAAGGTATCTCAGGTGTCTTTCTGCCATAACCAAGGTCCAAGAGTGTTATCAAAGATGTTCTAACCGCTCTTCAAGCTCTGGATAAGTCCCAAGAGACCACACTGATCACGTATATGGAATCTTCCATCTATGTATGCAGACTCACTGTATCTCTTCAATTCACAAAAGAAGGAGCAAAGATGGAACTCTTAGTGGAATAAAACATTCATTTGACCACTGGATCACTATGTACCATATGTCCCCCTGCAATGCATTAAATTCAGGCTCTAATGGCTTAAGTTCATTTCTAAAAAATGAATACTTGTATTCATTTCTCACAAGAAGCTTCACTCTATAAATAAAATACTTTGATCTCTCTGTGAAAGTAATGATGTAAGCACAAGAAATTATTACTAAAATTCTCCTCTAGATAGCCTCATGAGGTAAGTATTAATGTCAGAGGGAATATTATTTTACAGGTGGAAGAGTCAGCTGACCTGCTCAGAGTCAAAGGTAGTGATAAGAGCCAAGAACATACTCCAAGAGTCCTGTGCTTGTAGTCATTTCCAGACCTAATCCAAGCATTTAAAAAAGTATTTCTTAGGGTGTGAAGAGAGTCTAAGAACTTTATCCTTCTTTTTTGGACTGTTCTTGCCCCATCTCTTTTTCCCTTTTACCAATTTTTCTTTCTCAGAAGGGAACCAAAAGAGAATGCAGTGGTCACCTAGCAGACATCCAACCTCCCACCTGTGTAACATCTGAGGTAGTACAGAGGGTCTGTCAGGTGTACTCCATCTAACTTCTATCCAGGGCTCCCAATCAAGGCAGCTCAGAGCTCTGCCAGCCTGAGTTAATCCAGTTTGAGTAAATTGCTCTGTCGTCCAGTATGGTATGCTCCACTGATTCATTCTCTGCAGTTACATTTTATACAGGAGGCCTGTATGAAACAGAGATCCCACTCCTCAAATAGTTTTTCAAAACTGATACAACACGTTTATTAGGACGATTCTGACTAAGTCTCCAAACTATTTTGATGGGCTCTGCACAACAGCAAGCATTTATGGAGAAGTAGAAATCTGCTAGACTGAAATGTACCTAGTTCCATGCTCTAAAACTTTACATAGCCAAAAAAGTCACTGTTAGCTGGAAGGATGCAGGCCTTAGGCTGAGAAGGAGAAGGAAGGAGAGAATAAGAAAGTGAAGAAGATAAAGAAGATGAGGGGAACAATACTTTTCTTGGTAATACACAACAAAAACAACAAAAAACCAGTAACTTGTTTCCTGTATTTGAGGAGAGAAATTTGTGAAAGTGCTACAGCTGATCAATGATATGTTCAGATTCTGGGAAAAGGGCATAACACATCACTTATAAATTATTAAGGACTGAATGTATAGTGTGCACTGGAGATACAAAGGTGCATAGAAATGTAAACTATCATAATTCACTGAGATAATAGTTTTAATTGCCATTAGGCATATGTGTATGCAATTGAAACAGAGAGGAAGGAACTTGAAAAGTCATTAGGCCTTCATTTTATTTGCCTTTTAAGAAAAAAATGTATTTTAATTGAAGTATAGTCAGTTTACTAAGTGTCAATTTCTGGCGTACAGCATAATGTTTCAGTCATACATATACATACATATATTTGTTTTCACGTTCTTTTTCATTATAGGTTACTGCAACATATTGAATATAGTTCCCTGTGCTGTACAGAAGAAACTTGTTGCTTACCTACATTTGCCTTTTTAACCTCAGTCCAGGTAGGCAGCACAGTGTAAGATGAAGATACGTAACCTAGAGACAACAAATTTGGTTTCACTGGGATAAATACCACATCCCTCATTCCCGCTGGCTGGCACATAATCGTAACATCCACTGGTGTGCTGGTAAATGGTTAACAACTGGCTTTCTGGGAAAAAAAATCCTAATTTGTTGCATTTGCCGATTTCCATGGTTCAAATATTCCCATGATGGCTGATTTCAAGCTACCCACATGACATCACAGAATACGGAGCTAGGAAGAGAACAAGCATAAGTAACAAGAGCACAATGTAGTAAATTAGGAAGTGATGAGCTTTGAGCACTTATTATCCCTGTTTTCAAGAACTTGTCTACTTACTTGCAATTAAAATAATTTAATTTTTAATAATGACTGTTTAACAAACAACTCACATAGTTCTTAAGAATTTAGTAGTCATGAGCCAGTATGGACCAGCTGCAACGTATCACTGGACTCACACCCTAGGAATGCCAAGGGCAAGGGTAGGGGTCCAGATCCATGTTTATTAAAAAGCTGTGCCTCATTTCACTCGCTGTTGTCCTCTCTCCTTCCTACCTCAGACCAGGATCAGAAACAACTATTCCAGGTTTATTATGCCTCTCTCTTTGCCCTCTTCTCTGCCTCCAATGACCCTCAATAACTTAAACCACCCTCCACCAGAAAGAGAGATCTCACATCTCAGTGCTGAAGTCTAACAGACTGCGTTTGCTGATCACTATTAACTTTATAAACATTCAGTAAATGGGGCTACTATTATTACTGTTAATTCATGCCCTTCTCTCTATATTTACAGTTTGGTTCAAGATGCCACCACATTTAAATGGCATGTTCAAGCTTTATAGTATTCTTGGTATCTGCAGATTTTCAGGCTAGATAGGATGGGAGGTGCAGGAAGGAGGGGCCACTGGTCGGGGAGCCTACTTCACTCCTAGAGATCTGTGCAGGGCTGACCATCTCAACTCCCAGCCCTTTTGAGCTCCTAACCCCAGGCTATGCAGACTGCTTAGGTGCCCTTCCAACCTACTTTTGAGCTAAGAAACAATTTCTCTAAGGACTTATTTACCTGTAAATTGTGAAGATTTTATTTAGCTGTTGTAAGAGATATTGTGAAGAGATATTCCCTATAATGTCCACTTTTCTGTTAAAACATAAACGTATCCAGAAAAGTATGTGAGAGAAACTCCAAGTTACAAATTTATTATTTATCTCAATTCTAAAGATCTGGAAAATCAGTCATGACTTTCAGAGAACATGGTGCTATATCCACAGAACACATGTATTTCTACCTTTCCTCCTTGATAAAAAATTATAAAGCTCCCCCAAACATGAAGAACACAAGAAAAAAAGGTCATGAACTGCTGAGCCTCAAAAGAAAAGTATCTGACTGATGTATTTGTTGTACAATTTAAGCTTATATCCTTTATCTCATGGTGGAGACTAAATGATATATTTGGATAGTAGGATTTAAATTTCTTCAGAAAACACTTTCTCCTGGACCAATGTAATCTTTCAAAGCATTTACAGAAAATACATTTACTCACAAATGAATTTTATAAATTTATAATTTACTACAATTTATCTATAGATATAACATATTTTTCTAAATATATTAAGTGCTCCAATAAATACAATGGAAAGAGTCATGCTTCTTTTCTGTTTGAAGAACAGTTTTCACACTCAAAGTCTTTTAAAGCCTGAGAAGCTATTGTGTTTGTGCATGATGGGACTGGTGTCCGAGGGATCTAACGTTAACTTAGGGAAGTGTTTTCCAACTGCTGCTGGAAACTCAGTAGATGAGAAGTATATGAAGACATGATTCCCTAGGGAAGCCTGGCAGTGCCCAGGCCAGTCGGTGCCCTCAGGGATTCCTTGCTTCAGTTGCCCTCCAAAAGCTTCCGCTGTTTACCCTAATGTCCTAAATAAACAATACCATTTTCTCTGTGAGCCATATTGGGAAATACAGGCAGAGAAGCACTAGCTTAAGGAACATCAACTTCCTTTGGGTGTCTGACACAAACACAGATGACTGCAAGAACTTGATTCACTGAGCTGTGTCAGCACAATAGGGTGCAGAGTAGAGGTGGGAATAAAACTTGGGTTGTGGCTCAGGCTCTCTCATTACCTAGCCCTGAACTCTTGGCAGATCACTTTACCTGTCAGGACCTCGACTCCCTCAGCTGTGACATAAGGTGATTGGCCTAGATCCCTGTAATTGTGAGCACCATTGGCCTCATACTGGGCTGGGTGCTGTAGGGGAAACTTAGAGGAAACAGACACTGCCTCTAATCTCAAGGGAACTGTAATCCAGCTGGAGATAAGATCATTATTGAAAATAAAAAGTGAGTAAATATAAAATCTAATTGAATTGTAATGGGTTTGGAGGCTTGAAAATTATCATTGCTTATACCTCAACGGCACTTCCAACTGGGCATATAAATCTATAGAGTAAATCTGCATCACAGACTACTCTATGACCTCTGATTTTATTTAGTCATGCAACAGATTAATCATCATGTTCAAATATTCAAACATGTGCTCTAAGATTATAAACTCACGTGCACTTAAAAGATCAGCTTCACCTTGGTTGTACCTAGGAGCTCTAGTCTGGCCTATTTAACATTTTAATTATGACACATTTTAATTAAGTTATTAACAAACTGATATTTATTCAGATACCACTGACCAAGGCAAGAATAAGTGCTAAGAATCCTCCTCTGAAAAAAATGTAAACATCCCACTCACTCAACATTCTTTGCTATTTTTCTTTTTCTAATCCTTTCAAGTAGTTCCTCCCACCTCACTTCTTCTTGTGCCCACAGAGACCCTCATTCCTTTATTCCTCCACCAGATCTTATGCTTCAGCCCTTTCCTACTCTTACTTCTTTTCCTATCCAACATGGGCTTGATGCATCATCACTTCAACCTCTCTCTTACCTATCTTCATCCCTTCTACCCCCAAGAAACACTTATCTTCACACACTCGACACGAGATCAATCAATCTTAGCAGAAAATCATACATGTTTGAAAACCGGGGCAACTGTATATTCATACTTAGCAGCATTAACTGGACTGGCAACGCAGCTAGGTAATTCTGTTTCCCTAGAATTAAGGGTATTTCAAACCTTCTCTGGTTTACTGTTACCCTAATTATCCTACCCTCTCTGGGCAGGCTATACCCTGTTTGAAAGTGGTGGGAGGGAGATCAGCTGAGGTTGCAGGCAGCCACAACTGCTAGTAAAACCCAGGCCAACTCCTGAAAGCCATCAGGAGAGTAGTCTCCTCCATATAGCAATGCCTGTGGGTAAGGTATGAAATGTGGAGTTATGAATACTTGCTTTATTTATGCTGGTCATGACCACACCAGTGAGTGTGTGGTTGTGACCATCAATAGCAGGCAGGAGCCATTTCTAAAGATGTTTTTAATTTTGCAGACTCAGTGCATTAGCTTTATAACTTAAATCTTTCCCCACATGTTCTTAGGGCCTGGAATCAAATCCTAGCTCTGCCACTTAGCTTTCTTAATAACCTCTGGTAAGTTACGTAAACTCTCTATATTTGGGGATAATACCTACCTCATAGAGTTAATGTGGGCATTAAATTTGTTGGTGTAACAAGGCCAAGCCCTTAGTGCTATATAACTGTTTGTTATTATTATTACTATTGTCCTATGTATAAAAAGTCACCCAAATCCTCTAACAGTCATAAGAATGTTAAAACTATATTACCTCTTTTTCCCTCTTATTTCTCCAAATATACTGTTGATAGAGTAATGGTCTTGCTACTGAACGAGCCATATCTGTCTAATCCTAATGACTAACTACATTCTTTCTCAAACAACAAAACATAATCCGCAAAATATTTCCAAACCTGTATGACCTCACACAGAACCTATTATGCTTCTCATAGTTATTGTGTAACCAAGAGAACAATAAATATCCTTCCTGATCAGGACTACCCATGATTCTCTTCTCTCCTGTAATGCTGGACCCCATCTCCCAAGCCCACCACTTGTCAGCCCTGTTTTCCACTCCAGTGCAGCTGCATTTTTATCCCGACCTCCCCAGTTAGAGCCCCACCTGGACTGAACCACCCTCACTTCCCTGAATTCCCCATGCACTCTCTCACTTTCAGCCTTTCAAGCATGCTGGTCCCTCTACCTGGGACACCCTCCTCACCTCATTCACCCTGCTCCCTTGGGTAACTCACGGTACTCTTCTGGACTTCAGTTACCCTGTGTGTCTCCAGAAAACTTTCCTTGACAACCTCAATCTCCAATCAGCAAGGCTGACTTTGGTGCCCCTCGTACAGCCCTTGTCAATCTATTTTTAATTAGACCAGAAGTTCCCTGAGGGCAGGGATCACAGCCTACTTTATCCTTACTGCTTCCCTAATTTCTAACTCTGTTTAACATATGCATAGTTTGTACTCTATAAATGGACAAATGAACTATAACATAGTAGTTTCACAGACCTAGGGATGTTTGACACCTAAAAAGGGGAAAGGGCAAGATCACTGTCATTGTCTTCAAATATCTACAAATATCACAGAAGGAGAAGAATGTTTATTCTATGTAGCTTCAGAAAGAGACACCAGGACCAACGGTGTAGGCTCTGGGGAGCCACATTTCAAAACAATACAATGAACAATACAATAACTTTCTAAAATGCAGAGCATGAAACACTCTGGTCAGTATTTAGCTGCATATAGCTGGGAAGGTTCATACAGGAGCAGGCAAAAATGAACAGGGTGATACCTAGTCTCCTTGCGAAGTTAAGATTCTGACTCATAAAATTCTACTTTGGGCACCTGGGCATGCATGTGTAGGATAAGAGTCACCCTGAATACATAAACAAGAAGATCAAAGGTTACATATTAATGTCACCTTAGACCTGCCACAACGTGGAGCACCGGGGCAAAGGAACAGAGAATTTTAAATAAAACAAAGTAATCCAACCCCAAACTCAGCATTCCAACACAGGGGACAAGACCAGCAAGGGGCAAAGCCAGGTCCCC